TCTGCCCAGAGCCATGAAAACAAGAGCAGAGTGAGTGCCAGCAATCCCAACATTTATGATTATGGTGATAATGCACAGGAGGCCTGATCTTTGTGTGGGGGCTTGTACAAGAAGAGTGTTCTGATTCAGAGGCTGAAAGCCAAGTRTAAGACCAGAAAAATGACATATATTTATCACAGACACAGGGAGCATGAGGAAAGAAAAGCAGTCAGARTGCTGCCAAGTGTTTTTATAGGCCATAAGGACAAGGAGAGTGTTGGAGAGAGCTCGGAAACATTATTTTTTTCAACACACGTTATTAAGAGCCTGGTTGCAAGGCTGGGAGGAGGCACAGAGATGTTTGAAATGGTATTAAGTGGAACTGGTCATCACAAGCTGACCTTGGGGAAAGAGCTGAGATCCCAATAATACTCTGAAACTCCCTAGGACTGGGCTAGTGAAAGACGGATCTTGAAGAGGAAGGAGCAACACAGAGCAAAGGGCTAAGAACARGCATGCATTGTGAAGACAAGGGCTTGGTTATCCAAGAGTTTTCTTTCCCTCTCTTGTTTCTYAGGGGGAGGAGCGGTGTTTCAAGAGAGAATAATACAATCATTTGACTGTGTTGAGRGATTTATGGTTTGACTTTACCATGTGTTAAAATATTGATTCACTTTCTAACATATGCTTGAGATATTGACAATAGTTGTTCTATACAGAAGACTTACTTCTGCATACAAAAGGTGAGACTTCATAGTAGGATGCAGACAGGATGGGTAAAAACAAAGTGATGTAAGTGAAGCACAAGTCTCGAATTTCTTCCACTCAATTAAATAAAGATAGCAAGAGAGACACTGAGCAGTGTGTGGTGGTGAGAAGCTGGAATAATTAAACAATAATCTGACAGACGGTGCACTTACGGGCAATTACAGCAAGCCTCTGCTGGCACTGCAGGGCACGAGGCCAAAGACTTAAGCGATTCAAACCACACAAGTAGAGCAGTAACCTCCAAGAAATGCCAGTGTAGAGCTTTTGGCTTAGGAGCCCAGAATGGGACTTACATGGAGCCAGCCCTGTGCATTTACCAGGTGTTAGCAGGAAGAGCAGCCTGTCAAAAAGCTGTTTCTGTGTCCCTTGGATAATGCATTTCCAGCACGTCTCTTTGCCTTTGGCATACAGCCCGAGGATCCCACTGCATCAAACAACAAACTTAAAATAAGTATATGCAGAAAGCTCAACYAAAAGAAATCACTTGTCTGTCAACTCTGTTTCAAAAACAAGGACTGGGTTAAACCCCAAGCATCAAGCTTCAGGCTCTGAAGGCCTTTGGGATTCCCACAGGGAGCCACACCAGGCTTTCTGTTCCCYGCCTTACCCCACCCAGTAAACCCAAACCACCTTCCTCCTCCTGTCTCTGAAGCTCTGTGTCCCATGGTACCATGCAGCAGCTTCAGGGACATTGGCATGAAATCTGCAGGTGGATTTCTGAAAGCACTGGGATGCATTGTTCATCAAATGCTGCCACACTACATTTCTGATTTCTGCACATTGAGAGGTGAAGCAAGCTCTAGATTTTTAGAAAAGAAGAGAGAGAGAGAGATCCAAGTGGAAAGCAAACACAGATCAGGTGCTCTTAAAAGCTTCTTAAAATGTCAACAACATATTTACTTAAACTCAGAACAGAAAGTCACCTTCAAGATGGGTAGTTCTCATCAAAGTGGCTTTATTTTTAAACACCCCACGTCTGGAGCTACATGATTATACAGAACTCTGAACCAAATTTTTGCTTTTTAAAGTAAGGACTTGATTCCAGGCTTTCTCGTCATATGGAAAACATGAACTTGAAAGGCTCAAAAAGCAGAAAGAAAATAAAAAGCATTTAAAATGCATAAAGACAAAAACCAAGCCTCATAAACAAATGGGACTGGCAACATTGCTTCACCTAAATGCTTTTTTCTTCTACTTAGTAGGAGATGTTTCTCAAGACTTGAAATAAGTGTTGTTTTGTATCTGCAGGGCTTTCAGCAAGCGGCTGCCAAATTACGAAACCCTCTGGATTCCAGCAATGCACATCTCTGCTGTCTGCTGCACTCAGAGTATSTGGGAACAGGAGGAGGAAAACAAGCTTATCATTTATAAAATTATTGCTGGTTTTGTGGTTGTGAGGCTCTCTGCAGCGCACAAGAATAACTTGTTCGTGACATCAGTAAAATAAGGATGTGCAACCTAGAGCGTGTTGTCCTCTCCATGKATACCACTCTTATACTTTCTCAAATAACACTGGGTTTCATCCCAAGGTCCAGTCTCAGGACTCTGGGAGCCTTTGTGCCATGGGGACACAACTTGAGGCCCAGTCTTGTTCTGACTTCTCCAGCCCAGTGGAGTGACACCAAGATAATGCACTGACTCAGCACAGTCCCATTGCAAGTGCAGTGTTTTTCCCAGATTGAAGGATTTTGGCAAACAGCTTTCTAGCTATTCCTGGCAACTGGAAAGGCCCATGAGAGAAATGAATRTGTGTTCAAGCCCATGTCGACCCCAGAGGCCAAAAAGATTTAAAAAATGGGTATATGCTTTCTATAGCAGAAGAGATTGGATCCGTCATCTGTAACCGGAAAATTCACATTTTTTTCTTGTTGTTTCTCTTCCAACAAAACAAGGGGAATTAGGTCCTCTATAAAATGCTTTTCCCTCCTCTTAACTATAGCCAACACCATTCTAGTGAATAAATCCCAGCCTYACTCAAAACTAAACCCAGTCCTGTTTTTAAGACACTTTGAAAAGCAGGATATTAAGCTGCATGCCCATGCTTCCCCCCTCTCTCTCATCCAAACCTCCCAGCCATGAAGGTGGTAACTATGATTTTTTCCCCAGGAAAGGAAAAAAAAGGAAGGAGGTGTCTCAAAAACAGACTTACTAGAAACTGTTGGAAACAACCTCCACAATCACGCCTGTCCCAGTGCTATCAGCTTTCTAGATAGGCTGCCAAGCTGGCATTTGAGTAGCTAAGAAAATGGATCTAGTACAGGATGCCAGATTCCTCAGTCACTAAAACACTCAAGTAACAAACTAAGTTGACCATTGTTTCTTATCACCAAGCAAACAAACCCTGTTGGCAGGAAAACWGCTTTTGGAAAGTGATTCCCTGCCTGACTGAGATGGGCTCCAAACGCCAGTGCTCACATAATGCTGGACTCCAGGTGGTCATTGGCACTGGGAAGGATACTGGCAAAAAATCTGGCCTGTGATTTGATTTCAACATCTTGCTTTCAGCTCATTTCTCTTGCTCTGCAGGCCCTATTTGTTACCACAGGAATTACTCCTGCTTTCACAGTGCAAAATTTTCAGTCATAACTGGGTATCTTTTGTGTTCATTTTTAGCCATAGCCATATCCAAAATGCTGTTTTTAAAAACAAACTAACTGATCTGCAAATTTCACATACTGTTTAAAATGCCCTGATCTACAAACAGCCATCATAAAGCGGTGCCTCATCCCTTCCCTTTCAGTTAGCATGAAATATTAATTGGCACATGGAAACGCACATCAGACAAAGGAGCTTTTCCCATTGAAATCAGTGGGAATGCTTCTGAGCACTTCAAAGGGTAGAGAAGGATGTCCCCAGCAAGCACATCCATTTTAYAGCTTCATCAACGCCAATCTTCTGACCTGAAAGTGGAATATGTGAGTAAGAACAAAAAGGCCCATTTCTGTGCAGCCCTGGAGCAGCCCAGCAGTGTTATCTTTGGCCAGCTCCACAAAAGGCAGGAAGGAGGAGCCCTGCTCTCACTCTCTGCGGGCTCTGCTGGCCTCCAACCCAACATGAGGCGAGGCTTCCAGAGAGGTGGAACAAGGCTACCTGAGGGACCAGCAGCTTCCTACCCTAGGTTGCTTAGAGGAAAAAGGAAATAGTTGTGGAACAATGCACACAGAGGCTTTAAATAACTATCAGAGAGGTACCGCTTACTGGAAGTTAAACGTTTTATCACCGTTCTCCCAGCAAACCTTGAATTCCACACCTGACAGGTTCACCTGAGCTAGCAGAGGGAAGCATGAAAACGGTCACCATCAAGGCAGAACGAAAAAGAATTATTAGCAAAGCTMATTTTCTCCCTCATTTTCCTCATCCACGGCCAGTCCCTGTCGGTAGCAAGAAGTCAGATCTCAATCCCAGAGCACTGCAAGGAGCCGTCCCCGCCTGCCAAGGCCAGGTTAGCAGGATTACCAGCCTGAACTGCCAATCCCCAGGCACACAGGGTGTGCAGGGCACACAGGCAAGCTCATTAGCAAACTCTAAAATTATAACACATCCCGGAATCGGGGCTTGCTGGGTCCTGGCCAAGGCACAGGACAGGTGAATCCCTGTGCGCCCAGCCCGGGTCACACGCGGAGGATTCCCAGGGAAGCTGCTCCCAGCGGCAAAGATCCTGCCAAAGGCGAACTAACCCTTGTGGGGGGCGTGGGGGATCCCGGTGCACCGGCCCATCAGGTTCGGCAACCTTTGAGCTCTCAGTGTTTAGAAAGACACCGGCTTTTACTGCTGTTTACATGTCAAACAGCAGCGTGATTCACATGGCGAATCCCCAGGCGCTGCCTGGAAACGAAAACCGGGACGCGTACGCCCTGGCCACGCCCGTCTGCTGGACGGTGTCTGCTGGGGATTTTATTTACAAAAGCAGAAAATAAACCATAAAAGCGCCCATAAACTCAAGCTCGAACTCGAGTTCGGGCCCCGGCGGGCGGGCAGGCAGCGGCTCGCCGGGCCGGGCAGGCCCGCGCAGGTGAGACGGCTCCACCCCAGMGCAGAGCCCGGCGCTGCTGAAGCGGGAGCCGCATCCCGGCATCCCAGAAACGGGATAGCCCGGAGGGGRCCGCTCCCGCCCCGCCCGGGGCTACCCCGGCACAGCGCCACGCCAAGCACTACAATTCCCAGGGCGCCTTGTGGCAGCCGGAGCCCCCGTCAGGACTACTACTCCCAGCATGCACCGTGGGTATGACCCGCGGTGCAGGGGCGGGGCGCCGCGCGGTACAGGATGGGAGCTGTAGTTCTGCCGGGGGCGGTGCCGCACCGGAGCCGCCATGCCGGAGGGGACGGGAGCGCTCCGCGAGGTGCTGCCCAAGCAAGGTACCGGCGGCGAGTACCGCCCGGCCCGGCCCGGCCCCGCTCTCGCTCACGGCCCTTCTTTCCCTYTGCAGGACAGCTGTCGGTGGAGGACACGGCCGCCATGGTGCTGTGCAAGCCCAAGATCCTGCCCCTCAAGTCGGTGTCGCTGGAGAAGCTGGAGAAGCTGCAGCGGGCGGCGCTGGAGGCGGCCCAGCTGCCCGAGGGGGCTCCGCCGCCGTCCGCGGGGACCGCGCCACCCCGGCAGTAGCGCGGGGAGGGCCGTGCCCGGCAGCGCCCGCCATCGGAGGTACCGCTGATGAACGGGGCTGCGGGTGAAAGCGTGGCCTGAACGCGGGCGGTGGTGCCGGGCTGGGCGGGGAGGCCGCGCGTCGGGCAATGTCGGTGTAGAAGTTGCGCTGGTCGCTGCCCAGGCGATRTTTTAAACGCGTCTTTAGAGGTACCAGAACCCCTCGGACCGCGGGAGGAGGCGAGTTACACAACCCCACTGCTCTAAACCGGGCTTACTAGACCCCTCCGAGCGCTGCAGCGCTTGGCTCCTCGAGCACAGCTGGAACGGGTATTCCCAGCATTTCGGAACACCTGAAATCTTGACGTGAAACTGGAAAACAAGGAGAGGCTTTACCCCGTTCACGTAAGCGAGTCTTCCTTAGAYACGTCTTGTTCTCGAGCAAGGGTTTGGCAAAGCTGTGCTGCAGAGACACGTTCACATTATCCGTGCCAGCCCGGACGCTCCTACGCAAGTCACTTGTGTTTTCCAAAACAGATCTAGTAAATACTTACCGTAAGTTTAACTGCTCAGTGCTCTCMTGATTGCAATACCAAAGGGCAGCATTAGATGTATCACTCAATTTGTTCTGTTTAAAATAAATAAAAGGCAGAAACAAGAGCTTCACAAAAAATATTTTTAATATGTTTTACCAGAACTTTTCACTTTTCCAGTTACATAGAAAAAAAAAAAGACAAGTTTGGTACATGGGGACTGAAACCAACCAGTGTTCTCCCCTAAAACAGATGAATTCCTCTTGTGACCCAACTGTATTTTCTTGGGCTCTTTAAAACAAAGAAACTGCTATTTTTTTTCCTCCCAAAGCACAGTATTTCTTCAGCAGCAATGGAAATGGGATCACAGCAGCTTAACTTGACCCTTCTATAATAAAGCTTTGTATAAACCAGTGATTTTATGATGACAGCACTGTCCTGGAAAGAGCGAGCGGCAGTCAGACATCGATGCACACATGGAATGATTAGGTCAGAAACATGGCACATACAGAGATAGCTTATTTGAAGGCACCACCACAGCAGAGTGGCCAGTTGTTCTACTATATGCCCAAAGAAAGAACACTTCTTCCTGAAATTTACAAAACTATTAAAAAAAAAAAAACAAACAAAAAACAATTTGTACCCAAAACATGTGCTCTTAAAAAAATACGAACTGTGCTAAGCAACTCTTAAATTTGGTATCTCCTAGATGTGCATACATATATATACATACACACACCAGAGGAGCATGCGTGTTTGTATATATCAATAGCGAGCTATGTTCCCTTTCAGCTTGTAAGGCTTCAGGAGGCAGTTCTCACATTCAGTAGCTTTCTAGCTTAAGACGGCCYCCATCTCCTTCACTCACAAAACGCTTCCTGCCCCTGTAAGAAAGTAGAAAGTATCTTTTCAGTAATTCACAGTAGCATTGTTTTTTCTCCCTGAGAAGAATCTTTTCTTGGCCTTTGAAGTCAAATATAAAGTGAGTTCAGCAAGGTTAGCAGTGATCACAATGTCACCTCAACTGCTTAAAAATGCTGGTTTGAAAACCTAAGAATGRTAGTTTTCTACCTAAAACTGAAGTACACAAACCAAAAATGCCTCTTGACATGTAACTGGTAACCTAAGTATAATCAAGCTGAAGCAATGATGACTGAATCCTCCCACACCCCCAAACCTGCAAAACATTTGATACCAAGACACACACAAACACAGTTTWAAGTGTAAAGTTCACAAATGGAGGCTGTTCTTGATAAAGATGCTAGCATTTCAAGATTTAAATTTATCACAAGCTATCAAGATGGCTTAAGAACTCTAAGAAAGCACCCAAAACATCTGTCAAATAAATAGTATTCCCAATGCATAAAACTCTGAATAATAGTTCTAACATACTATTAAAAAATTTACATGTATTCCCTAAAGGAAATGAAACTTACTGTTTTGTCACCAGCACGGAGATAACAGCATACTGATTGGCTACAGTTCAAACAGTGTTATGTTATGTTATGGGTAACCAAACAATATCAAAGCAAAAGCACTATACCAATCACAGGACAGATGAGGGATGGGGTGTGTACACCTTATCCCMTATTAGTGTCCTGTTCCTTTTTGTATAAACATTAGGATTGGTTGTCTCATCTTAGAGCTCATGCTGTTTGATACATTTGAACCATTTTTGAAGGATTTTTTTTCTCATTTTTTATCCTCAATATAGCTGACAGTTTTCCACTGCCACCTRTGTGGACCATTGTGACACCTGGATCTTCCACCTCAGTGCTGCACTGGTTCTACCAAGCAAATCAGGAAACCAGAGGCAGGATCTACCAAATCAGGATAAAGGCAGGCCTTTATCCTCTGGGGAGTGCAGAGGGCTGCTGCCTGGGAATCACAGGAGGCTGACTTTAATCAAGTATTATCCCAGTCTCCACATAACAGGACTCAGATCAGTGCAGCTTCTTAATAAACTTATCACCAGTCCAACCCTCTGTCCATCTCTACCTTCCACTTTCAATCAGTACCAGTTTGATCTTAAAATGCTGCTTCCTGTAACCTGCGATAGGAAAGAGCAGTGCCTTTGCCTGTCTACAATGAAAMAAGTACCTTGAAGGGCAGAGGTCTCTCAGTGGTTTGGAGATGATTCCAGCCTGAAAACATTCCTCTACAAAGCGTTCGAGCACAGAATAGGAGTGTGGCACGTCCAGGTTAATGTCTGGGATTTCACAGTAAACCCGTTCATAGCCCTGCAGTGTAAGGATTCAAATAATCATGAATTTATTCTATGATTTTATTACMGTGTTTTTAAGTACCCTTCTGCACTCCAGAGGATTTATTTTTTTTATACGGTTTCACACATATGTGGACAGTTTCAACAAACCTTAAGCAGAGCAGCAACAAGTCAGTAGAGAAACAAGGTATAATACCAGCCAGTACCATGGCATTATACAAATACCTGTCTACATAAAAACACCACCTGAATTTTWAACTTCTTTAGAAGACAGAAATCCAGACAGTACAATATTTTTATGTTAGCCTGGCTGTTACCATGTGGATAGTAACAAATGGGTCAAAGAAAATAAATGTGTCTTGCATGTAAATTAACAAAATGTGACCACAAGTGACCAACACAACAGGTTATGCAGCAGGAGAAAGACTGGGGACAACCAGAGATGATGGCATCACTTTCCACCAGCAAGGGTCAATTTTGACATAAGTCTTGGTGTGGTCCCATCTGCCCTGGGACAGAATTGCTGTCCTATACTCATCCAGAGAAGCAAAGTGACAGATTATTCCAACTGTGTAAAATACTGGTTTCTATACTGTTCTAGCTGACATTTGTAATTRGCAGGCCTTTAATGTACTACTTCAGTTACAAAGAACTACCAGAAAAAAAAAAGACAAATTTAAAAAATAAATATTGCAGCATTTAACTGCATAAAGGCAGCTGGAAATTTTGGAAGATCTTATGCAAAGTTCTCTAAATGCCATACTTACTCTTTTCATCTGGTCCACAGTAATGACAGAAGACTTCCAGAGMGTTTTCAGCAAATCCAGTATCATTTTAAAGGTCTTTTCTCCAGTTGACTCCAAAACCAGTACAATAGCCTAAAACAAATCATGCAAGTGTTTTGACTAAAATAAAAGCAGTGGCTCAGGTACATGATGTGTGACCATATGAGATACAGAAAGTAAATGCATTATTAGAAATTTTCTGGGGAAAAAGAAGTCCATTTGTTACATGCACTCATAATTTCAGTTAATTATTATTATTATTATAATTATATGAAAACAAAAACTGATGAAAAGTTCTTTGGATATCAYAAAAGGTATGAAAAACCAGAAAGGACAAGAGGGAAAAGCATTGCCTTTCTGTCTCTGGTTTCAGCACTACATGGCTATATCCATATGGCTGCCACAGTACAGATGGCAATTAATTAATTTAGTGAAATTAATTTTGTATCCATGGGGTTTTAATTTTGTATCCATGGGGGTTTCTTATCTGTGATTTCAGAAGGACTCAGAAGCTTAAAATCTACAACACTCCCATCAACTGAAATGATTCTGCGGTTCTATTGTGAAGGAATTTTCGGTAACAAGTCAATTTACTGAAAAGCAAATTCTGCAGATCGTAGRTGTTCAGCTTTATTGGTAAACAACCATTTCCCAATTTGGCAGATAAAAGAGTACAAATGGGAACAATCTCCCATATAGGCTGGGTCTGAAATACCTTTTACAAATATGCTGGGTGAAACAATCCCACCCTGAAAAAGGAAGCTCTGTAACTTAACAGAAACAGGTAACACCCATCAGAATACCCAGATATCTGAAACTAGAAGGAAATAAACACCAAAACAAAGCACATGGGAGGGGCTTTTTGCTGCTATTCCTCAGCAGAAAATAAACTCAGATCGCATTTTCAGGCACCTATAATAATCTGCATTCAACTATTTAACTCCCCAAAATTAATTCTGCATCTTCCCAGAGTCAGCAGTAGCTTACTTGTTGCACAATGCACATACACAAATGAGCACACAAACCATTAACTTTACATGAAACAATTTAGTTATTCAAATAACAGAACAAGCAACCTAAGCTTCAGATGCCAGTTATATTATTTGCATGCCCACATCAAAATACAAACAATTATTACAGGGACTGATTTCTCCTTACTTCATATACAAGTTCATGGTGAAAATGGGGTACTTCCAGTTCCTGAAGGCAGCGTTCAGCTTCCAATACATCTCCAGACAGCAAATAYTCTTTCAGCAACATATCAATCTATTGGATTTTAAAACAAAAAAACCCAGCACTAATTAGATACAAAACCTTAAACCTGTCAACTGTTTTGATAATCCACAATCAACCCAGCAGCTAGTTCCTCAAACTTGCTGCCAATGCTTTTATAAATGTAATTAAATTCAGGCATTAATTAAATTGAGACGGTATCAGTAACCTGAAGTACAGTGTAAGCCAAATACCTATCCACAGTGCTGATATACAAGCACCAAAACCACTGCTTTATAAGCTGTCTATCACCGTAGAAGATTAATATGGGTGTGATTAAGTTTATYTTCTCCCTTGAACACCTCCTCCTATGATCTGTTACACTCCCAACCTAGAAATTATAACATGACCTTCTCCTTTCGACCTGCTTACTTCATAGCATGGATCTTTAAACATACCTGTTTCCTCCGCTCTCCTTTTTTCAGTTATTACTGTGCTTTTGATCAGCAATGCCAAAAAAATAACAGTTTATCTAGTTAGGCCAGTTTGATCTTGGCTCTCTTAATTACTTCATCATTTTATACTGTAAGGTCTCAAAAMGCTAAATGCTTACAAGTTTTGCTTAAAACAAAAACACACATACACTTGCAATACAGAATGTTGTGCTAGCATGTTCCCACCAATGACAAAAACTACAAAATTGACAAAATTATCTACATCCATTTGTAGAAACTACTTCGTCTAAATCAATTATATAGAAAAGTCCAAACAATAAAACAAAACCAACCTCATGATATAAGACATCAATTTAATACAGGATACATGTGTCTCTTCCTCTGCCCCAAACAAGGTAAGTTTAGACCTTATCTGGAGAGAGGGGAGTTTTGTCATTACCTCTTTGACCAGGTGTTTCACAGACTGCTGGCCCCCTCCTGCCCCCCACACACTGTCAATGCGCTTTCCTCCCTTGCTCATGCTCAGCAGCACCGTTGCTCGGTCCAGTGCAGCTCTAAAGGCAAAAAACATGATTASAGAACTTCATAAAGTGCATCTGCAACTTTCCCCATGGCCATTTCTCCTCAGACAAGCTACCAGATCTTTGGGCAGAGGTCAYGGTTATCAACTCCATGGGAACCATCTGGATCAAAAAGCCAGCAAATGAGCTCCCCACGTTCTCTTTCTGCCAMCTTTACACTTCTGGTCATACTATGGTTAAGGACAAGTAATTATCCTGCRATGGCAGTAGATTGAATCACCAATGCAGAACCTGAAACATCCTCACAAAAACCAGCTGAATATTTTCTTATTCAGAAATGGATTGTATCCAGGCTCCTCCAAGAATGCAGCTTTGGCAGGTGGATCTCAAACAAAAAGGCCTGAGTTGCTGCCACACTGAAGAACAGCTTTTCTACTGA